ACTATATATATATATATATATNGCCTGCAATTCAGGAGACCTGGCTTCAATTCTTGGGTCAAGAAGATCTCATGGAGAAGGGGATGGCAACCAAACCACTAAAATATTCTTGCCTGGAGAATCCCATGGACAGAGGAGCCCAGCAGGCTACAGTCCATGGGGTTACAAAGGGTTGGACATGATTGAACAACTAACACTTTTCCTAAAGTAACTGCTCTAAGAAGGGGTTTAGGGGATCTATCTGCCTATCACCAGTTTGAGTTGGAATAAACAGTAAATTGTCCTGGCAGCCCTGAGCTTGCTCAGGAAGGAATTTAAGGGGACACAGCCTTGAGTTTTTAGAAACTAGTGTAGTGTTTCTTCAGTTCTCTAGAATATGAGGTTGATGGGGTGGGAGAGGGCAAATCATTTATGCTGAGAGTCTGGTTAATAACAGGAATCAGAAGAGCCTGACTGGACTTTAGTCAAGGAAAGAATCTTTGTTAGTGTAGGCATCTGTACATTGAAACTGTGAAAACTGTCCATAGACGATATAATGACCAGGGTTGAAAGGCAATTTGTACAGTAAGGAGATTTACAATTCTAGATGAGAGGTAAGGTTTGCTTAAATGTATTTCTTTTATAAGTTGTTCCTAATACTTTACACAACTTCAGGGGTAATTGGCAAACAGGAAAGATTTCTGTACTTCTCTATGGTGTGGACACATAGCATTTCAGAGCAGCTGCAGTCACCTTACATTTTATAAAGTAACATTTCAAGAAGTTCCAAGTAAAGGAAGATAAGGGACTGAGAAGTAACTGCCAAAAACACCCTGAACTTTTTTCCCAATATTTAAAAATATGTACTTAAGGACATGTGAACTAACTAACTGTGTAAGACCTAGGCCAAGCCCCTGTCTTCCAAGTCCAGAGCCACTGCTACACATTCCCAGGGAAAATCAAACCAAATGACACCCGCTGGCTGCAGCATTTTTGTTCAGGGAAAATTATGTTTAAATAGAGTAAGTGTGGGGCTTCCCAGGTTTGGTGCTAGTGGTAAAGGACCCACCTTCTAGTGCAGGAGACCTAAGAGATGCAGGTTCAATCCCTGGGTCAAGCAGATCCCCTGGAGAAGAGAATGGCAACCCACTCCAATATTATTGCCTGGAGAATCCCATGGACAGAGGAGCCTGGCGAGCTACAGTGCATGAGGTCACAAAGAGTCAGACACGACTGAAGCAACTTAGCACACACGTGTGCAAAGAGCAAGCACAGTCTTGATTGGGATAAGAATTCCAAAGGACATGTAGGCTAAGAGGGCAATTTCTTTGATGATGGTGGGAGTGGAATTCTTTGTGGGATCTGCTGAGGACTGAATTGGGTCCTCCTGAAATTCATATGTTGAAACTCTAACCTCCAATGTGACTATACGGAGATACAGCTTTAAGTGTTAATTAAGGTTGAATGTTAAGGTTAAAAGCAGAGACGTTACTTTGCTGACAGAGGTCCATATAGTCAAAGCTGTGGTTTTTCCAGTAGTTGTGTATAGATATGAGAGTTGGACCATGAAGAAATCTGAGTGTCAAAGAATTGATGCTTTTGAACTGTGATGTTGGAGAAGACTGTTGAGAGTCCCTTGGACTGTAAGGAGATCAAATCAGTCAATCCTAAAGGAAATCAGTCCTGAATATTAATTGGAAGGACTGATGCTGAAATTGAAGCTCCAATACTTTGGTCACCTAATGCAAAGAGTTGATTCATTGGGAAAGACCCTGATGCTGGGAAAGACTGAAGGCAGGAGGAGAAGGGAACAACAGAGGATGAGATGGTTGGATGGGATCAGCAACTCGATGGACATGAGTTTGAGCAAGCTCTGGGAGTTCGTGATGGACAGAGAAGTCTGGCGTGCTGCAGTCCATGGGGTCACAAAGAATCAGATGCAACTGAGTGACTGAACTGAAGGGTGAGTGAGGTCATTAGGGTAGGATCCTAATCTAACAGGATTAAACAGGATTAATGGTTTTATAAGAAGAGAGAGAGGGAGAAAGAGGGAGAAAAGAAAAAAAGGAAGGAAGAAAGAAAGGAGAGAGGGGAAGATGTCTCCATGCTCACACACTGAGGAAAGGCTATGCGAAGAGAAGACACAGCAAAAAGGTGGCTACCTGTGAGCCAGGAAGAGGGTCGTCACCAGAAACCAAATCAGCCAGCACCTTAATCTTGGATTCCCATTTTTCAAAACTGTGAGAAATGGGTTTCTATGGTTTAAGCCACACAGTCTATGGTATTTTGTTTCAGCGGCCTGAGCTAAGACAGGATCATTTGTTTGTTCATTCATTTATTCAACAACTGTCTCTCTTTTAGGCTCTGTGGAAATAAAGTCCCAGCCTTTGAGGAGCTTATGTTCTAAAAAGGGGCAAAAAAACCAACAAAAATTGAAGCAATACGTAGTGTGAGAAATGGTAACTACCATGGGGGAAATAAAGGAAGAGTGAGAGGGACGGAGGAGTGGGGAGTGGCTGTTTCTTGCAGTGTGGTCAGGTAAAGCTCGAACAGAGACCGGAACCGGAAGTGAGCCTTGGATTCTCTGAAGGAAGAGGGTCCTAAGCAGAGGATCACGTGCAAAGATCTGGGAGATGACAAGTTCAGGGAATAGCAAGCCAGCCAAGAAGAGTGGTCGAGTGGTGGTTGGGGGGAGGCGAGTTATGCACAGAGCCCAGTAGGTCCGCCTTAGGACTCTGCCTCTTATCTGAGTAAAATAGGGTACCATTGAAGGCTGTGACTGCAGGAGTGATGAGATTTGACTTCTATTTTAGGAGAATCATTCTTACTGCTGGGGAAATGGTGGTGGATAGGGAAAAGGCCATAAGCAGGGAGACTGGATGGAAGGTGGGGAGATGGGCTTACTCTTAAACTAAGAGATTTTATTTATTTTGGTTTGGCTTTTGAAGCAGCTAATGGATGCATGTCCTTAGGAGTCTTCAAAGATGATTTTGTTTGAATTTTGGGTTATTCAAATGAAGGAGACTATATATTTACACCCGGGACTTCCCAGGTGGTGCTAGTGGTAAAGAATCCACCTGACAATGTAGGAGACATGGGTTCAATCCCTGGGTTAGGAAGATTCCCTGGAGTAAGAAATGGCAACCCACTCCTGTATTCTTGCCTGGAAAATTCCATGAGCAGAAGAACCTGGTGGGCTCCAGTCCAGGGGCCTCAAAGAATCGGACACAACTGAGTGATTGAGCACATGCATGCTAGCAAGTGCACACGCGCACACACACAGACACACTTACACCCAGGAGCTTGGATTTTCTTTTTTGACCTTTGGTCCTGGATCTTTCTAGGATTCCTTTTGGTTCTTCAGTAAACTCACAAAGTCTGCTCACTGACCTTTCTCTATTCTGATATATTATCAACTTGCCTAATATTGGAGGGCTGTTGGCACCATCTTCCTCCAACTCCAGCTTTCCTTTGGCTGTATTTTCTCACGCTTGAAGGTGCACATAAATCCCCTAGGAGGGTCTTTAATTAAAATGCTGGCTCTGATTTGATAGATCTGGGGTAGGTCACAAGGAGTCTGCATTGCTAGCCAGCTCCCAGTGCTACCTATCCTCAGCCAATATGTTGAAGAGCAAAATACGATTCAAAGGATTTTATACACTTTAGATATTCTTTTTGTGAAGGGAAATAATCAGACCAATGTATACAATTGAGGTAGTAGATAGATGGGCCCCAGGCTGAGCATCTGTAGCTGGTCTGCCGATGCTTCAAGATGGGCTACCAGGAGGAGCACTGGCCCCACTTGGGTGCATTCTTGTGAATTTCCCCACTCAACACATGCACGGAGAAGGCCCTTAGTCTAGAAGAGGGACAAAAGGAGGGACAGGCCAGCAGGAATCCATCCTAGCTGAGAGATGTGTGCTCACACCAGGATCAAATGTGGAGACACTGGCCAGAGATAACCCAGAAACCTACCCCCAGGTAAGCAATCTAAGCCACCCCATTGGGTGCAACTCACTCTGAGCTCACCTATGTGTTCTTTCATATGTCTTTTGCTTTTTCCAAACATAATTTGCTGCTGAGAAAAACTTTTATCTTTTTCATAATCTTGGTCTCTTTGCTGAATTCCTTCTTCCAAGAAGATAAGAACCAAGGTCCTTATTCCAGCTTTTCAGTACTGAAATCACTATGAGAAATCTATTCTTCAGTATATTTCTATTGAGTGAGAATTTTTGGCCCCAATAAAGAAATCAAATTATTGTTTCTTCTTTTTCTAGGCAGTTTTTATAAAATGCACAGGTATTCTTTGCAAAGAAGAGGGAATAACATTTATTTTTATAATAAGCAATGTATTTACAGGGTTCAAAATATAAAATACATAAAATGGTCATCAGTGGTATTTTCCAACTCTCACTCCTGAATACTTAATTTTCCACTTCTATATTCTTCCAGAAACGGTCTAAGCAAATACTATAAGTAAATACACATGCATATGTGTGTATGTATATGTACAAACTTTTCCCCCGTTTTTGCACAATTCATAGTGTATTAAGTCTACTATTCTGGCTTGCTTTTTTTACATCTAATATGTATTAGGTGTAATTTCATATCAGTACATTAAAAGCATTCTCATTCCTTATTATGGTTTTGGAATATGCCATTAGATGCATGTGCCATAGTTTATTTAACTAGTCTCAAAAGGTAGCTTTAAATTACCATAATTGGAACTGACAACTCTAAAAACTGCAAATGAAAACAATTATAATTCAGTTTTCCAAACACAGAGGAAACATATTTATACACAAGGTAAAGACTAAATTGTTCCTATAATAAATACAAATTTGTCTTAAGTATTTAAAAAACTTAAGAGATTTTACTTAGCTGCACATCAGCAGTGATATTTTGAAAAGGAAATAATTTTGACATCTTCTAGTATGTAAGGAATTCCTTTGGGATTATGAATAGTGTGTTAGGAAATTGCAGAAACTCCTTCAGTTTGAAAACAGCTATAAATCACCAACATGAGCTTTCGAAGTAAGTGTTCCTGTTGTTGTTGTTTAGTCGTTAAGTCGTGTCTGATTCTTTGCAACCCCATGAACCATAGCCTGCCAGGCTCCTCTGTCCATGGAATTCTCCAGGCAAGAATACTGGAGTGGGTTGCCACTTCCTTCTCTAAGAACACTGGAGTCAGTTGCCATTTCTTTCTCCAGGATATCTTCGCAACCCAAGTATCGAACCGGCATTTCCTGTTTGGTAGGCAGATTTTTTACCACTGAGCCACCTGGTCTTTCAAAAAATGTAACTGATTGCAGTGGAATTATTTATGCACTCCAAGAGTCAGTCTTACTTACAGGTGAGTGGGATCTTGTGTAATGATCCAAAAAATTCCATTCATGGCCTATCTGGATGATTGAGCCTCTTTTATTAACCAGACAACCTGCCCTCACCAATCCTACTTACATATTTTTTTTTACTGCTTGATACAGCAAATCTGTTTCTTTCAGTTACCTAAAATATCTTTAGAATGTCATTTATCTCTATCTTCTCTCCAGTGAGTCCTGATTTAGTAGTCTCACTGAGGTAAAATTGATATTTGGTGTTAAAAATAGAGGGCTTCCCCAAGGACTCAGCAGATAAAGAATCCCCCTGCAATGCAGGAGACACAGCAGACTCAGATTCAATCCCTGGGTCAGGAAGATCCCCTGGAGAAGGAAATGGCAACCTACTCCAGTATTCTTGCTGGGAAATCCCATGGACAGAGGAGCCTGGCAGGCTATAGGCCAATAGGTCACAAAGAGCTGGACACAGCTGAGAGACTAAGAGGGCTCTTAAATCATCATACGGTAAAACTGACTTTTTCCAGTGAGCATTTCTATAAATATGAACACATGTATGTACAGATGCATGTAATCACTACCATAATCAGAATACAGAACATTTTAAGCATTGACATCCTCCCTCCCCCTGCAAAAGGAAACAAAATAAAATTAAAAACCTCCTTCGTGCTGTCCATAAACACATATTTTCACTCCAGTAGTTTTGTACTACTGTTTATTCATTTACTCAGTGAAAGAGATATGAGTTGTTTCCAATTTTTAGTGAGCATGAATAGAATTTCCATAAACGTGTGTGTTAGATATATGAGTGAAAGTCACTCAGTCGTGTCTGATTCTGCGGCCCTATGGACTATAGCCCACCAGGCTCCTCTGTCCATGGAATTCTCCAGGCAAGAATACTGGAGTGGGTAGCCATTCTCTTAGGGGATCTTCCCATCCTAGGGATCAAACCCAGGTCTCCCACATTACAGGCGGATTCTTTACCATCTGAGCCACCAGGGAAGCAAAAGCATATGTGTACATGCTTTTTTTGTGGCTATTACTGCTAATCTCCCCTGGATAAATAGAGAGGGATTGCTGGGTCACAGGGTAAGTGTTTAACTTTATAAGAAACTACCAAACTATTTCTCCAGAGTTGCTGTGTACATTTTGCATTTCTTACAGCAATGTGGATTCAAATTCTTCCGTATGCTCTCTGGCACCTGATATTGTCAATGTTTTTCTAGTCATTTTAATAGCTGTGTAGTAGTATCTCATTGTGGTTTTAATTTGCATTATGGTTAATTTGTGACTCTTTGGACGGTAGCCTGCCAGGCTCCTCTGTTAATCGGGTTTTTAAGGCAAGAATACTGGAGTGCCATTTCCTTCTCCAGGGGATCTTCCCGACCCAGAGATTAAACCTGAATTTTCTCTTTCTCCTGCATTCTTTGTCTGCTGAGCCATCAGGGAAGCCTTTTTGTTATTTATTTATTTGTTATTTATTTATTTATTTTTTTTTTAGGGAAGCCTTTTTAATGCTTATTTGCCATTGTATATCCTCTTTAGTGAAACGTCCAAGCTTTTTACCCATTTTTGAAAATTGGGTTGTTTTTTTAGTAAGTTTCAGGAATTTTAAAAATATATATTCTGAATACAAGTTACTTGTCAGATACGTGATTTTCAAGCATTTCCTCCCATTTTGTAACTTGTCTTTTAGCAGTGTCTTTCACAGAGCAAACGTTTTAAACTTTGTCAAATCCAATTTGTTATTTTTTTTCTTTTATAGACCACGCCTAACCCTAGCTCATAAAGATTTTATCCTATGTTTACTTCTGAAAGTTTAATAGCTTTATTATTTTACATTTAGGCCTATGACCTATTTTGAGTTTATTTATGTACAAAGTATGACCTTTAGGTTGAGGCTGTTTATTTCTCCCACATATGGATGTCTTAATTTTTTCAACACTATTGATTGAAAAGACTATCCTTTCTTCACTGAATTGTCTTTGAACCTTAGTCAAAAATCAACTGGCTATACTTCTATGAGTCTATATCTGGACATTCTACTCTGTTCTGTGACCTGAATGTCTATCTTCTAGCCAATGCTGTATATCTTGATTATCACAACTTTATATTAAGACTTCATATTGGGTATTATGGTTCACCCATTTCTATTCTTTAAAAAATTTTTTATTACTCTTCTAGTTACATTGCCTTTCCATATAAATCCTAGAATTCCAGCTTCTCTATAAATACAGATTTAGAATTACATTATACCTATAGATGACATCTTTACCATGTCTTTCAATCTATGAATATGATGTCTCCCCATTTATTTAGCTCTTCTCTGAGCTCTTTCATGAGCACTTCAGAATTTTCATCATAAGATCTTGTATATTTTGTTAGATTTACAATTAAACATTTTATTTTTGCCTTTATTTTGAACAGTATTTTTAAAATTTTGGTTTCCAATGTATATAAATAATATGTAAATATAAAATCGATTTTTGTACATTGATTTTGTATCGTGACCTCATTAAACTCAGTGATAAGTTCTAGATATATTTTGGTAGATTCCTTGGGATTTTCTGCATAGACAATTATGCTGACTGTCAATGAGGAAAGCTTGTTTCTTCCATTCTGTGTGCTGTTTCTTTTATTTTATTGTACTGGCTAGGACCTTTAGTGTGGTATTAAATAGGAGTAGTGAGAATGTATACCCTTGCCTTGTTTCCAATATTAGCATTCAGGTTTTCACTGTTGAATTTTTTCACATTTGAGTATGATGTTGACTATAGCTTTTTAAAAAAATTTTTTTCAAGGATATATATTTTTAAAAATTTCCCTCATTATTCAATATTTATTGAGTAGTGACCTTTTTTTTTTTTATTGGAGGGTAATGGTTGGCTTTTTTCAAAGATGTCCTTAATCGAGTTGAGGATGCCTGCTCAGAGTTTTTATTATGAATAAGTGTTGAATGCTACCACTTGCTTTCCCCTGACCAGTTGATAAGATCATGTAGTTTTTATCTTTTCATCTGTCAGTGTGGTCAATTACATTGCTTGGTTTTCTAATATTGAACCTATATGCATTCTCAAGATGAACCCTTCCTATTGGTTGTGGTGAACTTCATATACTGCTGAATCTGATTTGCTAATATTTTGTTGAGGATTTTTACATCTATATTCATAAGGGATATGGTCTGTAGTTGCCTTTTAGTATTATTTTTATGTAGCTTTGGTTTCAGGCTCATGCTGGCCTTACGATTTGAGAAGTGTTCCCCCCTTCTATATTTTGAAGGAGATAGACTTGATGTTATTTCTTCTTTAAATGTTTGATCATTTCACTAGCAAATTCTATCTGGACCTAGAAATTTCTTTTTTCAGAAGGCTTCAGATTACAGTTTCTTTAAAAGACAGGCTTTAAATAAAAATCCCCATGTAAAAATTTTCTTTAAAAACCTGACCTCCAGAAAATTAATTCTCACTTAGTAATTAATGTGTATTTGTTGTTGGCAATTGTTTAAAAGGAAATAAAAGATATGGGTCTGCTTCCCAGGTGGTGCAGTGGTAAAGAATCCACCTGCCAATGCAGGAGACATGGGTTCGATCCCTGGGTCAGGAAGATTCCCTGGAGAAGGAAATGGCAACCCACTCCAGTATTCTTGCCTGGAAAATCCCATGGACAGAGGAGCCTGGTGGGCTACAGTCCATGGGGTCACAAAGAGTCAGACATGACTAAGCAACTGAGTAATTAATGTGTACTAGTTACTCAGAGTAGTTTCAAAGGAAAGGAAGATATGGGCCTACCTTAATATAATTATGGCACAGCATTGGTCAAAAAGCACTTTCAAATGGATTATTCAAATATGTGACTAAGAAGAAAGACAGGATAGAACAATGGATAAGAGCATGCATGAACTTGGGCAAGGGACAAGTTTATATTTGGTACAATTCACTTCGATAATCATTTTTTCCTCATTTGTAAAAGAAGAATAATAACATGTACAAGGCTGAGTTATAAGAATTAAACGAGTTAATGCTTGTCAAGGGCTTCATACAAAGTAAACACCTAATAAGTGTAGTTAACATTAATGTGACTTTACAGGAAAAATTGTAACAATGTATACAGAAAAGAACAGTACCATGGATTGAAAGTAAGTGCTTTCCATCCCTCTAGAGAGAATTCTATAACTTTAAATTTTTAACGAAATCTAAGTGCTTATATTTTCAGTTTTATTATTCTGTAAATATTTAGCACTGAATGATTTAAAATTTATGGAAAATTATATTACTTCCAACTTCTAGCTCTAGATTTGTAATTTTATTTTTACCACAACATTTAATTTTTTTGAAACTTCACTTTATCAAATACCACTTCTTGGTATTTGATATAGATACAAATTTAATTACAAATTTGTTTGCTCTTCTTGTATTTTCTAGATGAATTTCTTCAACCTACCATGCTCTTCTTTTATTTGTGCTGTTCAGTGTGTTTTGACACTTTTTCTGCAGAACAGTGAGCAGGACCTCTGAGTTTAAAGACACATTTTATTCACTTCCTTAATAAACAAGATGAAAACAAGCAGACTGATAAATAAGGAATATCAAGTTTTCAGACTAAACTCTTTAAATGAAAAGCAAGAAAACAGACTTGAGTGACTTTGGAGATGGCCTCTATCATTTATGTCATTATCGTGGTCTCAGCAAAACTGATATG